GTTGATAAAAATCCATTAGTTGAAATAGTTTTACCAATGTTTTCTTTTATTTTCTCTAATTCTTCATTTGGAATTTGTGTTCCACGATACAAAGTTAATGTTCCTTTATTTTTCAAAAGTTGATGTTCTTGTTCAATAGCTGAACATAAATCAATAATAAAGAATCGAAAATTAAAGAGTAATTCGATATCTTCAGTTCGAAGTGCTTTATTTAGTAGTTTATAAAGAAAACATTCATCTGTATACCATTCAATTGCTTTGTCACGAGTATAAGTCTTTTGAAATTCTTCAATCTTCGTTAATTCTTTTTTATCATTTTTATAATAATCGCGACACATATCGAGCATTTGTTGTTTTGATTGTTGATCTTGTGACATTTGTTTAAGAACATAAATTAACATTTGATGTAACAGAAATGAAGCTGATTCTTGTGATAGATCTTTCATTGATTTTTGTTTTTGATCAAAAAGACTAAATGTTAATGTCTGTTTTTCAACTAGATTCATTTTTTGTTTGATTGATTCTAATAAATCATGTTGTTTAGTAAATATTCCAATGATTTTATTATATTCTTTCATTAATGGTTTATAACGTTGATGGTTAGAACAAAAAATAAATATAGCAACCAAAGGTCGATAATGATGAGTTTGTAAAAGTATCTGTTGAGCAAAAGCACCAGAAACAATCAGAAAGATTTGTTCATGTTTGATTGATTTGATAAAATCGAGACATCGATCAAAATGAGAATAAAACTGCACAGCTGAATTAAGCTCGATTAACACAGATTGAGTGAGAAGATAATCATGTGAATCATTCATATTTCCATCGAGCCAAATCAATTGGATATCTTCTTTATTTTTTGAAACTTCGTTTGGAAGAGGATTCTGTGGTCTTTGATTCAAAGATTCACTAGTAGCCATTAGAATGTATAATCAGTTTATTATTACTTTGAAAAAATTCTGAATAAAAATGTTCTGTTGCAAAGGCTTTTTATATGTTGTGTGTTGCAGAAGCAAAACATATTTTTCTTCGTACTTTTTTCTTCCAACGTTGTCTGGCGAATGAAATCGGCGAAAGTGGAATATTAAAAGTGCTTTGAGTTGTTTTGTGAAAGTGTATGTTGCACTGTTACTTTTTCGCGGAATGAAATAATGTTTTTGGTTCTGTTTTTTCTTTTTTTGAGTGATTTGTTTGATTATGCACAATAGATTTAGTAAACTAATACCGTCTACTAACGTGTGACGAATGCGTATGGGCACACTCATGCAACTACATTATATAGATAATTTTAAGTATAATAAGCATTAGCTATTTTATTGCACATTTTCATACACTGTTCAGGCTATTTAGTCTTTGTCAATAGGCATGAACTGCACCCAAAAAGTTTGGTTTTGATGCGCTTCATTCAATGAGTATGTGTCAGGATCAGAGTCCTGCATGGGTACAGGTTTTTGCACCAGAAATCGAACGGGCTCGTTTTTTATGCCTAGACAGGGATGGCGCGAGTCTGTCAAAATTGTAGAGGGGAGCGTATAGCAAAAGGTTTTGAAGTAGAAAGATGAGTTTTGCGTTTTTTTGGAGGGTGTAGCATTATCTTTGGTAAAAAATCTTAGATTTGCCGATTTGGTTGAGCAAAAATAGAAATTTTCGAAGACTGGAGGGGTCTTACATCTCCGACACCCTAACCCCCGATCGTGCCACCCCTGTGTATGTTGAATAAAACAATCAATAAAAATCTAATACAGAGAAAAATAAGTATGAACAGTTATGAAAGACATAATAAATTCGATGTAAATAGGTATTATGTATTCGAAGAATAACAAATGTTTATTGATAATTTAAATAAAGAAAATGAAAACTTAAAATAACAAGAATGCCATAGATAGTACACTGAAACTATGATACTTTGAAAATGATTCGATAAAATTGAACATATTAACTTTACAATATATTTATTATTCTCCTTGACGACAGTTTAACGAAAAAAATTGTTTTTTTAAGGGCATTTGTTTGATATGTAACACTATAGCCTGACATAGCTGCTGTTGCTGTGTTGTCGTGTTGAACATTGTTGCTTTGGGTGGTGGGCACTTGTTCATGCTGTAAAGACCGGGATTCAGCTGCTGAGCCATCGCTAGCACAACTAACTTCAGATGATGTTAAATCATATGGAGATGAAGAATTTGAAGCCACGATGCCTGAAACTGTAAAGTTTCATTAAGTTTTGTAGAAAATAAATCCATTTGATACGTGTCAAAGTATTTCCTGTTTTTGTTTTAGTCTGATGAAAAGTTTTGAAACAATTCATATCTCATAATTATATTGTAAAAAGGACTAAAGATAATCGAATAAACAACGTAACTTACCAAAGTTTGTTATTATTGACAGCTGAATACTTAGATATGTGTAATGAGTATTTATACTCAAATAAAAAATAGTAACGAAGGGAAAGAAAAGAGAAGGTGGGAAAAAATGCAGAGTGCCTACGAAAACAGTGCGTTATAAAATAAATTGTGATAATATGTAAAAGAAAACGACGTGTTGAATGCCATTCTTAAATACTTCTTTTTTAAATAGCAGACAGGTTCCTTTATTTTTGCTTATGTAATATAGAAAAATGAAATTTCTTCTTTTTTGTAATAAATACTTTTCTGGTTTGAGAGAATGATAGTCTTTAACTTGGTGTTGTGGCTGTGGGATGAATATAATATTTACTGAAATCCACACGCACACCCTTAAAATGGTTTCAATCTTCTTTCTTTTTCGAAAGATAAATTATCTCAATGAATTACTCATCGTACATTGAATGATTGACTTGAAGATGGTAGATATATTGCTTTTGAATGTTTTCTATTTAATATTGATGAAATAAAAGAATTCTTAAAAAATCGAAATATTATTGATGAATAATATATTCAAAGAGCACAAATCATTATAACAAATGTTATAAAGAATACCGAAAGAACTGCAGTTACAATTAATGAAAATGATATAACAAATAAACAAATAATATTTGATAAATAGTTCATTATTACAGGCATAAATATACTATTTAATGCTTGTGTTAAAATAATTAACCATGTATAAAATGTAAAACAATGAAATAAATTAAATAAATAAGAACTTCTTGATGAATATATTGTTAAAATTAAATTATGAATTACTCCATAAGTATAGATTCTATATATTATTTTTGTTAATATCCATTCATTAAAAATACTAGAAAAACTACTTATTGTACAAAATATTGTTGTAGAAAGAAATGTTCAAAATATTTAACTTTGAGATTTATATACTCTCCTACATATTTAATTTTTACTTTTTCATATATTCGATTGAGACAAAAAGAACTGAATCGAAATGACAATTTCTAATGATTTTTTATTTTTAATTTATTCAAAAGTACTTCTAGTTAGCTTTTGGTTTTAAACTCGATTTTGTTAATAAATAATACAATTCTATTTTGTATAGCAGATTTTATCATCTGAAGTAATTATTGAACAGTCTGTTCGTTATTTTTGACTATAGAATTTATTCTACATATCAACTTTGGAAATCAAAACGCATATTAGTCTTTTTAATTTCTTCTAATAAATTTCTTTAAATACCTAAGTTACAAGCCATTTCATCTTGAGGGTGGGTGTGCGTAATGAATGAGAAGACTACTCACACCCTTAATATTGCTCATACATAATAAAAATCATATATAACTTCAGTTTATATTTAAAAATCTCAGTAAAAATTCTTTTGCTATATAATGATGATAATTTTTTCACTCAAATATATTATGATTTTATTTTTATTTATTTTTAAAAGTTTGTTTGGATACATGAAAAAAAATTATTAAGAGTTAAAATAAATGCGAAAATATAGTGAATAAAGCAGGTATTATAGTTCAACTAATTGCTTAATATAAGGTTATGAAGGCGCTAATGAATACAAGAATAAGACCAGTATCAAGACTAA